TTCAGTCATGAAAGGCTGAGCATGTGCTGCAGGCAGTTACCTGTCAATGTGTAAGTACACTTATTTCTCTTGCTATGAACAGTAGAGGTTATTAAGCATGAACAAATTAGATAGCTCATTCTCTCCTTACTCATGCTGTAGTATTCTGCATCTCCCTTGATTTAAGTAGTGACTATAAAGAGGCTTGTTTAAAGGACCCCTATCACTGTCTCTCCATATCGTAAAATGGAGGATGCAGAGAATGCTATTAAAGTTCCCCCTTGTCAGACCATGGAGATGGGAGCCAGAAACCCAGGAATATTTTTAAAATATTTTAAAAAATATTTTTTAATACTACATTCTACCATATACTGTATTACACGGTGTCTACCATAAAGTTGGAATCATTGTATGTGCTCCTCTTGGTGAAGTTCTTCGAGAGCTATTGCTAAAATGTGTTGCCTGTAACCAGGAAATGCTCCGTGCATTCAGGCAAAAGAACCTCTCATTTGTATGATGTGAGGAATACAGATGGAGTAAAGGACCAAGGCCTAAACTGCAGGGCTTGGATGCTTTAGTGTGAAGTGGTTGAGAATGGCAAAGTATTCTTACTTTCCTGTTCTGCTAATGCAGAAAGTAAATTTTTTAGCCATAATTTTAATAATACACAATTATATTTTCAGAAGATGCACCGTAGTGTCTTTCATAAACTCTAAGCTGTAGAACTATTAAGTTATAAAGTTAGAAGATTAACGTCTGTTAATTAAGTTAAAAGAAAAAGAGAGGCATTGAGGCATTAAAAGACATATTTGTGGTCAAACTCTCCAGCACCCATACTGTTGCCTGTATTTTTAATGTTAGTAGCTCACAGACCAACATCTAATTAAGCCCACATGATTTTTTCTGCTTAGTCACCCAGGGAAACAATCCAGAGACAAAAGTTAAAGCATCTTGACCAATATTTGGGTGTCAGGTAGCATTATTACTCATGAAATTTCTACTCCCATACTCCAACTACTTAAAAAACCCAGAATTTGCCTTGTAGGTAAAGAGGAAGTGCTTGGTGTCTGGAATTAAATGGGCAGAGAGAAAGGAACATAAAAGAAGGTGAAGTTTATTGCAATAGTGGGGAAAGTGTACACAACGGCAGATAAGGCTGGGGTAAGATGAGGTTTATTGCAATAGTGGGGAAAGTGTACACAACGGCAGATAAGGCTGGGGTAAGATGAGGGAGAATTAGGCCAGAATAAAGGCAAGCTAAGCCACCGACCTAAGTCTCTGTAAGTCATTTAAAGATTCTTACCATAGTGAGAATGATTCCAAAACAGGTCCCAAAACAGATGGGAGTAAATAAAGGACTTAAGAGAACAGCAATGGGAGTACTACATTTTCTACACATGGGCAGGCAGACTCTTGCTGGAATATTGGTATGTGCTTGAATTTGTAAAGAAGAGGGAAAATAACTTCCCAATTTGTAAAGAAGAGGGAAAATAACTTCCCAAATCAAAAATGTCATGATTAGATACCACAAGCACAGAGACATAGGCAAGATAGCCTGTTTCCAAACTATAGGTATTTTCACTAAAGAATGACAGTAAAACTGCCATATTAGCAGAACTAACATAAAAAAGAAAAGCATTTTTTTGAAGTTTCCATTTAAACACTGATAGGTCTTTAAAACTGTTATTAGTTATGAGATCCTTCTTTGGACAGCAGAAGAAAATGTAACATTTTTAAGGGTAAAATAGAACTGGAAGCATCACAGAGGTTCTTACGGGAAAGTCAATGTTTCATAAAGTGTACTGCAGATGATACATTCAGACAAATATCTGCATCCTATTTCTGAAACAGGACTGTTTCTGTGTTATTCATAATTACTTTTTCCCACTGTTAGATTGTGCAACTTGGAAATAATGTGACACTTCTGAAAGAGAATATTTTTTAATATGGAAATTTATTTTTTACTATGAGGAAAGGGGTGGAAAGTACTCCGATAATAGCATTTCCCAGCAACCTTTAGCTGTCATGATCATAAAATGCTGCTGCCTCTCTTTAACACTTAGCTGCATGTGAACGTAAAAGACCAAGACTCATCTCACATTCCTTCTCCTCCCAAAGGAGATACACTAACAAACTTCTGCAACCACAGAGGCCCACATGGCTCAGTTATCTTTCCCATACCATAAGACATGTATAAGTGCGTGAGAGGCAGCACCCTTGGATGCCAGGAGAGCATTTATGACACCTAACTACATACTGCCTTCACTTTACAACAGATAGCACCATATCCCAGACATCTGAATTCCTCAGCTCAGCTCAGCAAAAAAAAAAAAGAGCAACCCTGCTGCTTAGTCAACCACAGAAAAACAGAGGTGATGCTGCCAGAAGAGGTGAAATTTAGCCACACCAGCAATTATCATGATGTGTTCAAAGAACAGACTTCTGTCACAGTCACACAGAGCATCAAGATCTGAGGAAGGATATGGAAACAGCCATGACAGAAAAAAGCTGGTCTACACAGTGACTGAAGGAATGTGGTGCTGTTCTAGTAAAGGCCATGGACATGTGAGTGTACCATGCTGAGGACTGGAATCACAGTGTGAAGTGCACTTTTATGGTCTCAAGCTTTACTTTCAGTACGTACTGTATTTGGGATGATTTGATGAGTTTTAATTTCACTAGCTGTGCAGCATCTTAGTTAATCACAAGCCACGTCTCCTGGCACAAGTGACCTTTAAGGCCTTCAGATTTTTTCAGGGAGATAATTATAAAAAATTTGACATGTAAAAGGCATGAATCTTCAAAACTCCCTCAGGAGAAGAACTAACAGTGGCCATAAATTTCAGTAGCTTCAGGAAACTCCTTTGCAATCCTCTAAACTCCTTTTTAAACAATAATAATGTGGAAAATATGCAGCTGTACTGTTATCTCAAAGGAGAAAGCAGAAATTGGAATGAAAAAATCAAGCTGATTATTGAAACAGTGTGCTTTATATTGAGTCCAGAAAGACAGACAGAATAGAGAAAAATGACCCTTGTGTAACATAATGTTACTTTATCAAGTTCAAGAGTATTAATAAGGGAATATAATGATTTCTCAAACATACTCAATAGTTAAATATTAAACCTCCAGACCCATCCTGTGCATGGCTGCAATGAACATACAAAGCCTTCCTATATAATGGCCTTCCCCTAACATCACATGTGGCTTACACAACACTGAATCCTGCCAAAACATCCTCAGTTATACATCAATAAAGTAATGAATGCACAACTCTGGGAATGGTGTTGGTGATGTTCTACATGGGAATCAGTAGAGGGAACAAATGACACTGTGGCTTTTTGAGTTCTACAAAATAATGGAAATGGCATCTTTTTTTCCTTCTCTCTGTGGAGTAATGGAACAGTAGATAAACTGTGGAAAACCACAGCTAAATATTTAGAACCCACAAGAAAAAAGTTCTTTGAACAAATCAAGCAATTTCACTTATAGACTAGGAAGGAAAAGAGAGACAGAAGGTTTGTTATTGTTATTTCTATTTTTAGACATATGAGATGCTCAGATACTATTTTGATAGGGGCTAAATAAGCACCAAAAGAAAGAATGATAGGATTTTTTTCCATGATGTTCTTATGTCTTTATAGTGGTGATACAAGCTTCAGCCTTCAGCAGCACCTTTTCCAATCAAGACATCTGTAAATATCTCAAAACCATTTCAAAAATCAGTGGAAATACTGTAATATAAAACATGACCTTCAGGCCATCTGGAGCTGGGATGAGTATTTGGAATTCCCAGAGATTTCCTCCAAAATGACTATGTTCAGTATCTATTCCTTGCCCACCATCACACAGTTGATGTTTTTTGTTTAAAGAATGCTCAAAGGCTGACAGGAAAATTTACTTAAAAGTTTTGAAGCACATTTGAGTTAATGAAATAATTATATTTTTTAATATTCTCTACCTTACTTTTCCCACTTTGAGAAGATTTTTCTGTTAAAAGACATTTACTTATATAAGAGGATTATTAAGAAGCTAATGAGTATTTTAAATATATTTAGAGAAGCCTAAAGGAAAGCATGGAAAAATCGTGATTTGAAACAGAAAAATAAAAAGGACAGTGAGAAACATACAGGGAAGGAATTGAAGGTTATCTCTACACAACAGGACAGAAACTGGTAACATAGTATATACACAAATTCTGGATCCCATTCTTCATTATACTTTGAAGTAAAACCCCCACCGATGAAGTGCACCTATAGTGGGAACCAGTACTTTAGTGTCACTGTTGATTTCATATTGATTGAACCAATTGTGGAAGAAATTTAGTGTCCCTCTCCTAAAAAGAAAAAAACCAATTTCTCAGAGCTCCCAGGAGTTAAAGAGATAATGTAAATCACCAAAAAACAACAACAACAACAAAGTATTTTAAAAAGCCCTGACAAAGAAGCGAAGATAATCAAGTCAGACATAAATGAAGATAAATCCCCTCAGTTCAGCACCTGTGAGGACTAGACAGGTTGTCTTGATGCCTTAATGACAAGTCTATTAACCAGTGAGCATATACTCAGGTTTGCAGCTGAAAAATCATAAAATCTTTCCTAAATATTAATTTATTTACATTTCACAGTCCACCAATAAGATTTAACCAGTACATTCTCCAGAAAAACTTGCATTGCTGACTTCATCCATTCACACCTCGCTACAAATGCCTCAGTGGTGAGACAAGACACCTTGAACCGAAGTCTTCATCTGTTTTGGATTCAATCCAAAGTTAAATTTCTGTCAAACATAAGGAAGAAGAAAAAAAATAAAAAAAAAAAAAAAAAAGGACATTTTTAAGGTACTCGCCCCTACATCTGAAAGCAGCTTTGCTCAGAAATGATATCTGAAACAGTCCCACCACTTTGTGTTTAAGTATCTTTCACTGCGAGGTCTTTTTTACTTAGCTAAGAGAGCTTTTAAACAACTCTCAGGATTGTATCACTGATCCTGTTTCATGCCCAGGTATGTTCAGACAGAATGCACAATGAGTTTGCTGATTTTTTTGCATACCTGTTTCATGCCCAGGTATGTTCAGACAGAATGCACAATGAGTTTGCTGATTTTTTGGGGTTTATATAAAAAAACCACAGAGCCGGGATGAGCATTCAGGAGTCCTGCCTCCCACCCTGGCACCACCGTGTGCACCACTAGCCAGCCACCATTCAGGGCTCCTGTGCTAGCTTAGCTTGTCTGGCCCAGTAATAATGAAAAGGAAGAAAAGATTTTTCACTAGGAATTTGGAGTATTTTCTCATTATAACCAACCAGCATGACCAGAAAAAAGACTCCTGATGCAATCCGTGGGCCTAGTTCTCACTCCCCCGCTGGCAGGGCCTGAAAGACTGCTGGGGCCACAAGCCCCACTCCTCCAGGAGAGGGGAGGGAGAATGGGCTAAAACCAGATCCTGTCCATCAGGTCTTGTATCCTGTCTTCAGCACTGCCCAGACCTTCACGGTTCAGGGAAAAGCAAACAAACAAACAAAAAATCCCCCCTGCTTCCCCCTTCCAGCACCCGTGGCCTGTGGTGCAGTAACCAAGGAAGCGGCTCGTCCCATTACTGGCAGCTAGCCCTTCAAGAGATGAGGACTGGGAAAGGGTAAACTCCAGCTAAAATCCCAACTCCAGTCTTGCTCTTCAGACCAAAACCAGGGCAGGATGGGCAGAATTTGGAATCATAAGGGCCCTCATGGCTGGAAACAAGGGCAGCTGAGCATGCTGTGGGGGGAAATGAATGGCCTGGGGGAGGTCAGCGCACAGAGGGATACAGTGCTTTTCCAACGGCACTTCAGCACCGTGCCCAGGGTGTTGATTTCTGCCCACCACAAAAGCAAGTCATCCGAGGGGGATTTTCTTCTTTCCTCTCATAGTCACCCTCGACACTACAGCAGCAGCTGAGGGGCCTTCTCCTGGAGAAGGCACAGCAGGAATAATCCCACAGGTCGAGAGGCAAGGGCAGAGGCCAGAGGGCAGGGAAGGTCAGCACTAGGCAGGCACGATGTGGAGCTGCCGAAGCAGGCAGAAGGTCTGTTTCTGGGCCCTCTAAGTCCGGCTGCCAGAAACTTAAGATGCACTTTGGGAGAGCCAGGGACGAGGCTCATGGCAACCTGCAGTAACAGACAGCTGATGGCGTCTGTCCTGGGAGCAGGAGCAGGAGCAGGGGGAGGAACTTTGTCCCCGCTGGTGTGACTGTGTGTTGTTCTGTTTGCAGCCTCAATGCGCTCGTGGTTTCTCGTGCAATAGGAATGTGTGCCCAGAGAGAGAGAGGTGCCCGCTGACACAGCGCAAGGGAGGTGAGAACACTGTCAAGGTTTTGCTCGCTGCAAAGCGTGGGTGCACCTTTTCCAATACAGACAAAAGAAACAGTGCCAACACCACAACACAAAGTTGCACCAGGCCTTCAGCAGTTCTCAGCTGTGTGCTCTGCTCTGCTATGGATTTCCTTGGCTTAACACCTCTTTCACACACAGTCACAAGTCAGAATGAATCTTTTGCTATTGATGGAGTCACAGCTCTCTACAATAGTCACAAGAGACAACCAGACCCACAACCTGTGACTCCAGGTCTTAAGTCTTGCTGATCTTGTAACAGGAATAAAGCCCACTATGCTTGTTCACTCAGGCTGAAGGTGCACTTCTGGCACTCCTTGAGGCTTGTTGTGACCCTGAGAAGGTGCTGGGGTCTAAGTGGTTTGTACCACCCCATACACAAAACAAGGCCTCAGACGGGAATCACCTATATACTGCTTTCAACTCCAGTCCAACATGAGGAACTTTCTCCTCTCTGTCACCAGATTTTCTCTTCCCTTTTCACTGAAACACAAATAACTGGAATTTAATTTTCCCTCATGGAATTTTGTGATTACATGAGCTTGTGCAGGATAAGCACACAGTAGATCCATTCTCCCTCTCCCCTGCCACCTATTCCTTCCATCAGGCCCATTCTTTGGCCTTGTCATCACCCTGTCATACAATTTGCTTTTCACAGTCTTGTGAGAATTTGGTCACAGTGAGACTCGAAGCCTTCCTAACAGCTCCTACACAAGTCCATCACTGCTAGTAACTGAGCACAAAACAGTGAAGGCAGGCAGCGTTCTTGCTGAAAGTCATGTTGGATCCGCCCAGTAAGAGAAGCCAGGCAATAACACAGGCTTCTTGTACCAGATAATGCCAGTAGTCTGTTTTCCTGCAAAAGTCAATTCATTCAGAAGAAAACGAAATAAGTTAGTGTACCTAGCCAGCTATAAAGTGGAGTGAACAGAAATATTCCTCTCTTCCTTCCCTGACAGGGCAGCCAAAGAAACATTGTTACATTGAGAATTTTTCTGCCTCCTTTTTCCTCCCATATGATTTCATTTATCTCACCATGGTTTCTGGCTAGTAGCAGAAACAAGAATTTAATTTAAATATGCTTGAATCTGGAACCAGACTTTCTTAGGAATGTTTTTGTTTGTGTGTGTTTTGATTTAACCCATTATTTTGCTGCATTAGTCCAATTAGAAATCTGAATGTGTCTGACACTCCCAAAAGTTAAAGTTCTGAATCTGTTGTTTCATCTTTAGCAGAAAGAGAAACAGAAACAAAATAAAAATAAGGATATGGGAATTTAAAAGGAAATTGACAAAACACTTTTCTGAGGGCAACCGCTAAATTTCACAAAAATGTGCTACCTGCAGATTTGGAATATCACCTTTCTACTTGAGATACCACAGGTCCTGGTTATCAGAGTGCTAATTTTCAGGATGCAAAGGTGGGACTTAACAACTTCATTCCAAATACTGCCAAGCACACTGGGATTTTTCTTTATAATTTTTATCACCCATTGAGAAATTGTCCTTCTTCCTGAAATTAACTCCTTGCCTCTGGTACAGAAATCCAAAGAAGTAAATTGGCTGTAGATGACTCAGAGGCTGCACAGACTGAAAGAAAAAAAACCATGAAGCACAGTCTTTTCCTCCAAATGGGCACAGGCACTGCTTTTTTTGGGCATGGGTGAATTAGGATTTGAAGCTATTTGCTGGCACATATTTAATTGCCATGTTTTTTACTAACTTTTCTGCATGATGGATGAGGTTTTTTTTGTTGAAATGAGGTCACTATGTTTTACCTTTTCCTCCCATTCAGGGACTGTTTGCTGTGTCAATTCACGTAGCTTAGAAAAATACATGTACATCCTCTGAGCTGCATCCTGGCACCCTAAAGCAAAGCCAGTTTTGGCTTCCTTCACTTGGCAGTACTGGAAGCTGGGAGCCTTTGGGTGAACAGACTGCCCTCCACTGTGCATGCACCTCTCCCAGGTCACAGGGCACACTGGGCAATTTGAAAGTATAGGGCAATGATGTGCCTCACCAGGACCAACCTCTCAGACAGCCATCTCACACTGGGGAGTAAGAGAGAGCCTGGGCTCGTCTCTCCTGTGTAATTTCAGGGGGCTCTGGCCCTCTGCCTCTTATCAGCACCACATGACAAACCTGCTGCTCTTGTCATTTCTGTCATTCCTGCTACCCTCCATGGAGGAGTTCTGCATGTGTGCTTAAAGCTGCACTTATTGACATCCTCTTTCTTTCCAGTTCTCCTCATCCTCTGCACAAATAACTCTACTCTTTCAACAGCAGTTCAAGTAAAACTAAGAATTTCAAGAGAGGGTGGAGATCGTTGATATGCACCCAGCCCAAAACATATCTGCCAAACCCTAGAGCCATGGGCCAGCTGGCCTGAGAGGGTGGAGAGGGAACGAGTCCTATGCCAGGCCACTGCCCAAATTTGATTCAGGAGAAAAAAGCCTATAATCTGACAACACACACAGGGCCCCACTTCCCAGTTGTAGACAACCAGTGTCCCTGGGCAGCTTTGATTAGTATGCTGTCTGGAATGTGTAAGGTCCAATATATAGTGACTTCAGTCACTCAGCCTCCCAAGTCAGCCCTAGAAGAAAAGGAGAAAACAAATACAGCCATTTTCTCCTCTCCCCAGTTCGAACTTGCAACAATTTATGGCCTTCCCCAAAGATAGGCTGCTCTCTCGTCCCTGACCTTTGCTGTAAACTCCAGCATTGTCGTTACCTCTATTAGAGCCTTTTGAGTCGGTTCTATTGCCCTCTGAGCCTGGCACTGGCTAAGGACACACCAGACAGCACTCTGTTTACATGCAGGCTCTGTTTACATGGCAGAGACCCAACAAACTCATCAACCTCCTTAAAAGCCATGGGAAGATATGGGAAGCAAGCAGAACATTGTTTGTTCTGACCCCTAACCACTCTGGTTCCACAACAGCAACATGGTGAAGACATTTGATAAAAAGTGGACTTCAGTAAAGTAACTCTTGTCCTTGTCAAACACTAATCTCAGACCCTTTGGAAGGCTCTCCCTGGAGTCCACAGTCATACTTGGACAAGTAGAGTGTTCAACAGCTGAGCACTCTCTGTGCCTTGTCCTTGTGCTCTCCAGTCCCTTGCTTTTTGAGAATTAGAGCTTGGGGAGGTCAGAAGTCTCAATCACATCAAATGAAGCTGTGGCAGGCAGCCCTAAATTATTAATGCCTTTAAATACTAAGTGCACTCAGGAACCAATTCAGCCTCCAGCACAAAGGCTGTGCACCAACACGGCCCCTTTGGAAAGGGAAAAAAACCTTACTAAGGATTGTGAGGCAGCAGTTCTGTTTGCACTGACACATTTGTCTCTGCCCTGGACAGAGGATACACACAGTCATGAATCACTGCATTTGTACACATGTCCACTCTTGCTATTTAAGCCACTCCTTGTCCCTGGGAGACATACAGCAGTTCTAACCAAAGCTCCATTTTATTTACATCCAAGAAGGTAGTCTTGCAAGCTGCGAGATGACCTTTCAGTTATATGGCAATCATATAGAGTATCTATATCATATCATGTAGAATCATCTACACAGCTACAGTTTTACTTGATTCTCTCACTAGAAAGACTGCAATTCATTAACACACCTCTGCTATGCACAGTTTGATATTTCTCTTTAACCACATCCCTTTAAAACTAACCTTATTGACAATTTACTTCTGTAAACTTCCATTTTGTTTTTGATTTAGTTTCATCCCCCTATGACATCCTACCGTTGGCTCCTCACTACTACCACAGCTGCCCTATGGATAGTAACTCTGACTTGGATGCTGTGCTTATTAACAGTTTGCTGTTTTCACACAGCTTGAATTGTGTTTCAAGAGGAACTGATGCTGATTCTTGCTCCTATTTGGCAAATGCATGAAATTCTGCATGTTGTAGGAAACAGGAAGAAAGCTTTAACTTCAACTGTTTAGAATGAACATGCACAAACAACGCAATCAAAGTACATGCTCCTCCTGTTTACCTCCTCCACACCTCAATATTTCTGTTCTCTTTCTCTGCCCTTCTGGGAATGTATCTCTTTCACTTCTGCTCCTCTCTCCCACACCCACAGGCATGCACGGATTTGTTATTGCTAGGTCACTTGTGATTAAAGCTCTGGATACACTACTTTATTGCAGGGTTGTCCCTGGCTTCATAGGCTGTTTGCTGTTTTGTTATTATAGTGCTGAAGCCTTGTTCTTGCAGTTTGCTGCCTTTCTCTCTCACACACACACACACACACACACACACACACACACACACACACACATATCACCACCACAGTGTATTTAGTTTGAAATGGCCTAACACAAAATTCAACTTGGGGTTTGCAAACAATTTGAAATGGAATGAGGGAAAAGGGAGTTACAGATCCTGGAAATGCAGCCTCCCTGCCCTTCTCTAAGTGTTTGACATTTTTTCTGTGGTACTGGAATAAAAAGCTTCCTTGGCTGCAGAAACTCAGGCACAGCATATTCATCTGGGAAGCTGCTAGTTGGGGTTCAGGAAAATCGCTGGTCCCTTTTGGCTATACAGACTTTGATAATAGCTTTAACAAGCTGGATTTGGCTTTCAGAGCAACAGGCAACAAACACGAAGAACTGGAAACCTCTAAAAATTATTATGGCTGTATTTACACTTATCAAATGTAAGAGCAAGCCCCTCCTCGAGAAATGTGTTTCAGCCCCCTTCCAAAAAAAGGGGGATTTCAAAAGCAAAGCTCACAGCAGACAGAATATCTGTTCTATTTTGGAAAGTCCTGTGTATACCCCTACTGCATTCCTCTTCTTCCCCCTCCCACCAAAAAAAAAAAAAAAAAAAAAAAAAAAAAAAAAAAAAAAAAAAAAAAGGCAAACTTCTGGGCATAGCTTAAAAGCCTCCTCCATGTGTGTATTCTCCAGCTCCACTGCAGATACTTGGAGTTACATTAAACTGGGCAGTTAGTGATTCTGGCAGTGGAAAAATTACAAAGTTCAGGGGCTGAGGAGGGTGTGGCCAAGCTGAAGTTTTCCAGAGAGCTGTACCAGATGGAGCAGAGGAAAAACGCTTCTCTTTCAGCTCAGGAAGGTGGAGTTAAAAGCTCTGAGCCTTAAACAAATTCCAGGGAATTTCTTCATTCCCTGTGAACACTGGTATTGGTAGTGCTGGTTATCAAGGACAATTTGGACCTCAAAAAGCAATGAATTACTTTCTGCATGTGGCAATGCAATGCCTGTACAGTGTCACAGCAGAGAATGATGTGGTCCAGTTACCCCATTAGCCAGAGCTGTGCGAGCCTTCTCCCCTATGAACCAGCAGCATGTTTCCATTTCCAGCTGGATGGTTGATGCATAAAAATGAAATTGAAGTGCATCATGTAATAAACTGCACTAGCGACCAAACTGCTCCACATCAGCACATATACACTAGAATATGGTTTAGAACATCTGTTTACTGGAATGATGCTAAATTTAACTGTTACATTTAAATTATAATAACTCCTCAGACTTGGACTTAAAACTATCCAGGTAGGAAGAGTCATGCTTCTTATATTAAGCACTAAGTAGTGTGTTAGTTAGCATGTGTTGTAAGATGTTGGAATCTTCAAGTGTAAGTAGTCCCAACTGTGTTTTAAAACACCCTGGCTAGTCAGGCTTTATTTTTTACCTCTGGACCGGGTTTTAAAATATGCTTTCAACTGTGACCAGCTGTGATCACACTAAGGGCAAAATAGCCTTTAACCATGTGTTAGTCAACAAAAACTGGGATATTGTGTCCAGCTCACTGCATACACTGCAAGAAAGACATTTGCAAGCTGAAGTGAAGTCCAGTGGGGGATCCTAAAATGGTCAGGGGCTGGAATATAAGAAAGGCTGGGAGAGGTCAAATTTTTCAGCCTGAAGAGGGCTAAGGCAGGAGAGTTATATAAGAAAACAGAGTATTTGAACTTTATTATTTTAATGAAAATGCTGATTAAGGAGCAAAATTTGGATGCTTTTCAGAAGATACTTTGTCCACTAGGATCTGGAATACCTCACTTCACATTGAATGAAAACCAGTCATTCAATATTTGATTCTTTTTTCTTATATGGAAAGCAGCCCAAATGACCTGGAGAAGAGACCCTGTATATAACACATTACTAACTACTACAAGGAACTGATTCATATAGTATTAACAACGGAAATTTGTTTTAAAGACTGAATTTTCTGCTTGGTGTCATCAGTTGTTAGTGAAAAAGGCATGGCAAGGTCGACTCTGTTTACCTATTAACTATGAACACAAAAGACAAACTTCTCTAACTCAGCATGAAATCAGTCAGCTAACTAAATAAAGTAACTATTTATGTGCAACATGGTCTTGGTCAAGTCACTCAAAAGCTTACCACTGGAGATCATGGTCCTGCAGCAGTCAAAATTAAATAACAGCTGCCTTATGTGATACAGCTCTGGCTATCCATTCCCTTTCTTCCCTTACCCCCAGCACTACACCTTTTACCAAGCTGTTTCCCTGATCTAGGTCAACAAAAACATCGCCTAACAAAAATTAATATGGTCTTTGGTACTAAAGAGGATCACAATAGCTAAAGCTATCGGCAAGAAATAATATTTAGTATCAATTTTCCATTTCATTTTAGACAGCTGCAATTGTCCTCAGATTTGAGAGTTGTGAGGATTGTGAAGTTTTAGAAGATTCAATAAAGTGATCATTCTTATATGCAAAATAAAATTTCAGTATGCTTTCTCTATTGCTGCCAGTTCACATTCCTTAGGAAAAAGTTGAAGTGAAAATTAATGAAATTCAGTGAATATTTGCTGGAAAAGGTTTTCCTTATAACAAAAATATAGGCATGTCATAATAATACTTAGAATGTAATACAGAAAGCATTTCAGCTATTTTTATCATCTTAGAGAACATTATGTAATTTGTTACTTAGATGTCATTAAGCTAAAAAAAAAAAAAAAAAAAAAGACTAGACATACCAAATAAAAATTACTAAAAAGCCCCTTTCCCCTCCTTGTAGGATCCAGGATTCTGACCCTGCTAAGACCCTCAGTCTGTCAAGTAACTATTGCAAGTTCCAGCTGCACCAAAGCTCTCTCCATCTGTGCTGGAGTCCCCTTGCAGACTACAGTGATCTGCACAGACCAATTTTTTTCCTCTCTATCTGGGACCTCGCAATGGCCCCCTGCAACTTAACTGCTGTCCTCACCAGCCTTTTCTCCGGGCTGTGTGTTGACCTGGCAAATGCTTCTAGCTGTAAGGAGATGAAAAGAAGGTAAGGAAAAAATGGGGAAAAAAGCACAAGCCCTGCAGATGAAAGTCTGAGGCAGTGTTTTCCTTTCCAAAGTGCTGCTACATTCCCATAAGCTTGTGGTTTCCTGCATTCTGTTAGAGGGCTTTTTTTTTCTTTTTCTTTTTCCTTTTTTTTTAAATCCTACTGGTGATATCTGAAGAGGGAAAATGTCCAGCACTAACAGGAGGCCTTTTGTTCTATTCGTTTCTAAGTGGACTTTAACCCAGTTACTACAGACTGAGTCACTGTAGAAACAAATAAAATAAAAGCTCTCTGTTTTGTCCCTCTGGACAGGTCAGGGACATGTTAAGTTCTCGCTTTCCCACTTTTTGGAAGCAGTACCAGACCTGGCATTACACTGCAATAATAATGAACATAGTTTATGGCTTTTCTCTTTTATATGTCCTGGCAACCCCTACAGAGCTGATATTCCAATAAAGCTAGCATTTCATTAACAAAATAAATGCACAAGGGGCATATCTTTGGGTAATGAGATGAAATTAAACGAGAGAAAGGCTGGCTACCAGCCTTTCTCTTTCAGATATGAGTAAGTGTGACATGTATAGGTGCATATTTGAGTTATTTCGGTACCTTGTCAGATCTCAAATTTTTAATGACTCACAGCAAATAACTGCTTGTTTCTGAATATGACTGTAAGATTCACTCTCAGGCTGAATTTTAGGCTGAATCTGAGGACTGGATTTCAGTCATTTCTTGCAGTTCTGATTGCTATGACAAGTTATATCCTGTCACCATACATCAACTTTAGGGTAAATCATTACCTATTTAGATTCCAACCACCTAAATTAAAACATCTAAAAGAAAAGCATCCTGGGGCTTACTGATCTCTGGAGGCTCTGGAAAATCTGCGCACAAGAGGATTGCTCCTCCTCTTTTCCCCTTCTCTCATCAGCCAGCTTTCCCTGAAAATCTTTTTAACTCTTTAGTGTCCCCTTATTTATGAGCTCTCAGCTCTGGCAAAACACCTGCCTGTTGTAGCTGGCACTTGCAGAAGCTGGCTATAAGCTTGCTTTTGCCCCTCTTTTGTACCCTTGCTACATCTGGTTATACAGTTGCTTATCTAAAACCACTGCAAACTGCAAACTGACTGTTTCCCAACAGCCATCTTCCTGGTCCAGTTTATTTTTAAGGTAGGGAAGTTTAATACAGGGGAGAAGTTAGTAGGAGGAAGAAGTACAAACACAGGTAAAACCAAGACTGTTCTTGGGTGTGAGTCAGTAGTTTCACATGTGGCTGGTATTGTACTGGGCATGGGAGGACAGGGAGCACAGGGCCAGACCACTGCACTGATGCCAGATGTGGGGTGCAGAGTCAGGATTGAGCTCAGTACCATGCCAGGCCTCTTGCTGCTCCCTTTTCTCCCTTCTATTTCCCAGCAAAACTTCTGTCTTACAGTCACGGCACTCTACCTGGCACAAATGGCATCTATTCCCACACCTGCTCAGACCTGTGTGGAAATATTGCCCTAGGTGCTGAGGTTTGCTGGAGATGTACTTTGGTCTTGCCTCCTTCTCCTGGTTTGATTTCTTGTGCCAGTATTGATGTTCCTCTGCTCTGAAACATTCCAGAAATGGTTGGTGAACCTCTTATGCTGTGCCAGAAGAGAGCTTCTTTTAGGGTTTCACTCTTATTGAAAGACTAAAATGCAAAGCAAATGAAAACTGAATTATGAACTGTTATGCTATTGACTTCTTAACATACTGCATTCTGCCTGCAGAAATTTGTGAGTCTACACAAGCCACAGCAAGAGCCCAGCAAGGGCTCAGTGATCACGGTGCTATTTAGTATCATTACTCTTACCTAACTTATCTTTTGATGTATTTTGCAACAGCCGTAAGAGACCAAAATATGGTCCCGATTTAGCACAATTTGGGAGCGTAGGTTGCTGCATTACTCTTTCCTTGTTAGAGTGACAGCAAGGCAAGTAACAAAGAGACTCTTCCTTTACCTTTTTTCTTCCTACTACACTATCAGCATTTCACTGGGATGGTCCTCATATCACTTGGGCCGATAGGAAAAATGCTAAAGAAATTCCATCCTAATTAGAGATCTGGATGGGTTTCAGAGCTTGTCAAGAGCAAGTAAAGCAGCAAAACATTCTGAAGTTCACCTAGGATATTCTTTGGGACAGTTTCCAAGCAAATGCATGTTCATTTCTTGGCTGAATACTGCTTGAAACAGAACTTAGAATGGTGAACATGGGGAAAAATTTGTGATCAGCAGAAGTGAAACATCTGTTTTACCAGAGACAACTGAACTCCAGATGTTGTCAAAATCACATCATTCTAGAAGTGCCAATCTCTTTGTGGGTTGTTCTGAGAAAGGTCATGTCACTGAACTCTTGGTGACTGAATGGCTTTTGTCCCGGAAAATTCACTCCCAGATGTGCAATGCATGCTGAAGTTTGATGCAATTTGCTTTGTTAACTTAGGCAGACGAAGAGAGATATCTCAAGGAGATACCCTACTTTATGAGATCAAGCTGGTCTCATAGATCCTGCATGACTTGTGCTTGTTTTCATTCCTATTGAAACCTGTTGGGCATGCTCACCGTTATAGGATGTTGTCTCAAGCTGTCAGTGAGATAATCAAATACCTTTAGCTCAGCCTGGTCAGTCCACAGGAATGGTGCTCTTCAGTATAGGTCCAGGTTAGAAATCAGAGTAAATGCTGACACTGCCTTCACATTCCTCTGGAAGACATCATGCTGAGAGAATGACCTAGGTTGGTGTTAGAGCATGATTCCATGGCAGCAAATAGCACAGACAGATGGAAAACACTTGAATCTCTTTTCAGTACAGAGTTCTTTCCCAGTTCTGGGCAGGAGCAATGGGGCTCCTCAGTTGTCCTTTTGCCTCTTAACCTTTGAGTCACTGACATCAATAAAATGCTGACCCATCAATGTTAGAAGCACTAAGTGTCATCTGTTTCACATATAGAGTCTGTAGGCCATGTTTGTGCATGTGACAGAGGGAGGAGAAATGAACGACGCATGATCCGGGGGTTACAGCGAGACTACGTGCATCTGCTTTGGGACACAAGAGCATGGCACAAACACGTGCAGTGTGTTTGTATGACACGGAGGCACACGACCATGCATACTGCTGGGCAGCTCTGTGAAGATGTCAGTGGAACTAATTTTCTTTTCTAAGAGCTGTTCTCCCTGCCATATTTTTCTTTTTTGGTCACAGTTCTACTATTACTTTGCAACATGGTAAGATTCTCAGTGAAATCTCTTTTCTTGACACTATAGATACTTAGGAAAGCCTAGGAATTTTCTGATGCAGTGTCAAAATGCACAGCAGTGACCTGCAGCACATTATATATAAATTGATTAGAAAACGTGTTTAAGCAATAGAATAATATAACTTGCATCCATCTGTCATTCAGGAAGGGATGCACAAAAGAGTCTGTCATTTAATTCAGTAGGGTGATCAGTGGGTCTGCCTGGGAACGTACTTATTTACAAAAGGACACACTATGGCTTTAGAGCTTGTTGGAGGCTCGAAGCAGGCTTAAATGTGAGTGTGCATATGAATTGTTCTATTTTATAACTTGCAAATTCCTCTTTCTGATATACTCCACCCTCCAGTGACCTTTTCCTCAGAAATTAACGTAATCCTCACAGAAACTGAGCTTCCCTGATTCATCACTATCACAACAGCTGTTTTCTACCTATTTGTCCTGAGCACAAAATTTCAGTTACCCTTTTTATTTTTATAACTACTGAAGTCAGTTTATGATGAGTTTTACCAGTTGCTTACAGCAGGTTGTACTGCTGACATTTAGTAGGTAGTATGGTCAGGTATGAGGTCTAAAAAGATTTTGCATCAATAAGCAAAATAATAAAAAAGTGCAGAAAGCAATTTGAGCAGAAGACAGAATTTCTGCTAAGATCTTTGACAGCAGTTTCATTGGTTTCCAGCTGATGAGACAGACTTTCAGCTCCTTGGTGGCTTTATTCTTCCATGATCTGAAGGCATTTGGATAGTGCATTTTAAACCAATTGGTTGTTTTCTCAGAGTCCACACAGAGGTCGGGAGAAAGGAGAGTATCTTTCTTGCTAATGTTAGCCAGACAATGGCAGCTTAACTGTAAAGCCCCCTAAAAGAGAATAAGCCTATTGTGTCCCCAGTGCGTTTCCCACATTTCAAAGGCCACTAAGTAGCACCAGCATCTTTGCCTCTGGGTTACTGAGAAGACAGACTCCTATGCTTATTAAATGATGTCTTTCCCTAATGATTTGAAACAAAAAAGGCACACACATACAAAACCAGAGATGTGCACATTTAAGGCTTCTCCTGCCATAAGGTCAAACACATGAAAAGACACAAAAAAAGAGTTTGGCCCCAAGATATCAGAGTAGATCCACTTGCCCATCTCTCCCACACTGGCTCTTACTCTACTTTCTGCTGCGAAAGCCCCCGGTTCCTGCACAATTAAGCGCGGCACCAATGGCATTTCTGCTGCTGCTCCTTCCACTTGGTTTCACTGCTGAGAAAGGAGCTTGTTCGGCAGGGAGGCGGGCACTGCTGCCTGAATAGTCTCTGAAGCATTCATTATCTCCTGCCTAATTACATGGCCGGCATAGTGGTGGTGTTGTGGGAACATTGCATCACATTAATCAGCAAGGGGATGTGCCAAGATGAAAGGGTCCCCTTGTGTCTGCTCTCTGCTGTGGAAAATGGGCAGGAGGGTGGGGGAAGGAGCGGGGTATTTATCAAGTGGCAAGTAGGGAAGGCACAGCGGGTGCCCCCCAGCTTGGCCTGGCCAAGCCGCCATCTTCCCAGGTCAGTGCTTTTGTAGCAAATACACCTTTTGTGTTCATGCCTGTTGATGGATCAATAGCTCCAGAGGCTAAAATCCTTCACCACAGCACAAGTATGAGCAAGAGCTGTAAGGCAACACACTGTTCAGCTGCTCCAGGAGGGAGTGGGAGCTGGTCCTCCTTAGCTTGTCCTGCCCTCAGCCCACTCTGACTAGAAATAGGATCACCTGTTTGAGCAGGCTCAGATTCAGCTGCAACCTGGCCACAAGGCTTCACAGGAAGTCACTGTCCCTCAAAACACGCTCCAAACACATTTGTCTCCAACAGCCTCAAAGTCAAATGTTAAATAGTAGCTGTGATGGGGCTCCTGAATTAAAGTCAAGCTGGTACATAAAAGCAAAAATTTCATTTCCCAAAGCCTGCTGGTGAGAACCCCAGTTCACCCACATAGTATGAAATTTAAATGGACTCTTGAAATCTGAGAAGAGATCTCATTTCCTCCTATCTTTGTCCCACTTGCAGGACATTTGAAAGGCTTTGTAAGGCTTTGCATAGATGCTCCTCTGTGTGTTGGGGCTGGGGGGAGGGTTGAGGCATCCACACTGTGGTTGTTTGGCACTCTGCAAAATACTGGGTCAGACTAGAATACAAAATGACAGTCCTTGGCTGAGCTGCTTATTGCTGTGAGATGGAATAGCAGCGCTCTAGAGAGAATAAGGAAAGGTAATGGAAAAATTAAGACATTACAAATGCAGATCTTTGCATTCGTTAACCTCTCCCCTTCACTTTTGATTCTATCGGTTCACATCCATCCTCTTTAAAATCCTCCAAGGACAGGCAGCAGCTCATGCTTTACTCTCTTCCCATTTGGTTCCCTGCAGGCCTTCTGTCCTTCACGGCTTCTCTGCACTTGAACTGTGCCTCAGGTTGAATTCAATTGCTTGGAATGGAAGTGTCTTGCCATCAAACCCCATTGTTTTTGCAATGCATCTGGCTTATTAATGCAGGCTATTAAAGCCACTTTGGAAGCAGATTTACTGAGATGCAGATAAGTTTATCTGCCACAAAGTAGGTGTGAATGCCAGTTACTCCTGCAGTGACTGCTGCCAAGTCCTCCCACTGGTATCCCATGCTGTTTTTCGGACAATTGGGGCAGCCTGCTTATCTGTGTGCCACCTGTTGTGCTGGAGTCACCCTGACCCAGTGCCACCTTTCTATTCAAATACTATTGCCTAGTCAGGTGGTGTTCTTGGGTTTCAGCACACAGGGGGCATCGCTTATGTAAGGCCAGACAGGCCTATACTAACAGATTTGACTTCATTGCCCTCTGGTGAGAGGAGTATATACAACAGGGCCTATCACTTTTTTTCTTTTTTTTTTTTTTTTTTTTTTTTTTTTTTTTAATTTATTTTTATTATTTTTTTATTTTAGGGAGAACAAATGGCACCTGCCTGAGTTACAAGTGACGATCAAACTGAGGAAGGGGAAACGTCCACTTACCTTGTCACATGTAACATAAACTGAGTTTATAGAGCAGGAGCTAACATTTAATATAGCTCAGCTCCAGGTATCATCTCTCTGTCTTGGGCTTTTAATGATTACAGCATTGCTCTGGTTTCCCTCTACTCGATCTTTGGGCATGAGAAAAGAAGAATGTCCACTGTGATACTTTAAATCCAACATGGGGATTGCATGATCAAGGAGCTCACTTAGTCCCAGTGCCACAATTCCTGTCTCACTCTGGTTTTGGTGCTGGAGATCCACAGTAGCTAAGAGCATCTCAGCATAGTTTTCACATTTGTCAGGTTTGAACAGAATCCTTCCTCTGTCATTTGGGCACAACATCCTTTAAGCAAATTAAATTAGTGTATATACACTTTCTAGCTCCTCTCCTTTGTTAAATCTTTGGTTGATCACCCTGCCTTGAACACAAGACTTTTAGTACTTAATTAACCTTTCCCTCAAGACACCAGAACAGTTGTGCTCTATCCATCTCCTTCCCAACAGAGACACAGAAATTCCACAAGATGGAGAACATTTTTCTAGGCCTGCACTCATTAAAGAATGATAAAAACCATGGGACTGGAATTCCAACCTCAAGACAAAGCACAGTTTTACCCCCAGTGGTATTAAGGCTACTATCTGAACAACAACTAGCTGTCCCTTTCATCTCACATTTGCCTGACAAAAGTGAGATACTAAACTTTGATCACTGCAATGTGTCCTGCACTAAAACTGGCCAGTTTACATTGGAGGAAAAAACCTAGAGAGATAACATAGTGAAAAACTCTGGTCTCTAATCCAACAGACAGATAAAAAAACAGAAGCAGGGGGAAGAAATCCTACAACATGATACTAGGGAGATAATGCCAGTGAAATGTGTCAGACTTTATAATTACTGTTAATGAGGTTAAGCTAAGGGCAACTAATCCTGTGGGAGAATATGGTGGCTTTGTGATCAAGGCCTTTTCTGAAATACAAGTCTTCTGCAATCCTCAATCCTAATGCCTCTCCCCTTCTGGAACAACCACTGTCCCCCAGCACAGAAATGTCTCCTGTTCTCACAGAGCCACCCCAGCAGTGTGCAGTTGTCTTGCCTACCCACAAAGGCAGGTTTATCATGGGCAATTGCACCCCAAACAAGGAACAGGTTTGTCTCCTGCTTGCAATAGCTCCTGACTGCACAGGCACCAGCTTGTGTGTGCACTGCACTTTGATTTGAAAAGTGCCTTTTGACTTGTGTTTTACCGCCACTGCCAGTTATTCCAGGACTTGAGTCAAACCACTGGGAAGACCAAATGCAGATGCATCAGATGAAGAGGTCTAGAAGAGACCTAGAGTAAAAGCCAGTTCAGTTTCCATCTCCTCCTCTTTTTCACGTGCCCCACTCAGCACCATATTTATGGTGGCTATGCAGGACACTCCTACAGCAACTTCTGTGTATTAAACACTGTGCAAGTCACAGTGTTTCTGCTAATGTTGGCAATGTAACTTTGAAACCACTCTTTTCTAGAGGCAGCAGAAAGTTGATGGTACAAAACAACCATGGGAATTGCTTGTTTTGACACAAAATTTCACTGCTTCTGAAGAAGAAAATTAACATCACAAACATTCCCCCTTCCAGCAGAGAGAAGGAAAATGGGGCAAGTGGCTGCTCCACACGAAGCTGCCCAGACCTGAAATGGAAGTCTGTGCAAAGGTCTACAGGCCACTGGGGCACATTTGCAAAGCCCACAACAAATTCCAACACAGTTAAGTTCTGTTTCACAGTTTCACCCCCATTCTTTATGTGACAGCTTTCTTAACAATCCCACAGTATCTCTTTCTCACCTGGAAATATCTCTGGCTGTTTTATTTCCTTGTCTTGGTCTCTGGTTTCCAATGGACTGTTAACTGAGAACCTCTTTTCTCCCTTGTATCTGTGTTCCTGTTAACCCTGCTTTACATATTCTATGATGAAAAATAAAATCAAACTTCAACTGCATGAAAAAAGGACTCAAGCAATTTGATGGTAACTACAGCATTTGTGCCTATCTCTCACTGGTGCCAAAAGTGATTGGAATTTTAGTAATTCAATAGATTAATAAGATATGTGAGGTTATTTTATTTAGTATTTGGCTGTACCATGTTTCTAAAATACTCTGCAGCTAAAAAATGTAAAGATCATATGATATGTTTTTTTAGGGTAAGTGAAACTACTTCTTCTAAAGCAGTAAGCTCATTGCAGGTGTAATTATCATATTTTTAAAACTTTGCTGCAAGTTCCATTTAAAGGAAGCTCTTATCCATCAGCTCTGTGGTGATTTTTAAGTAATTCCCCTCCCTCCACATGCCCACACTAACACCAACAGGGCTTACAAGGAAATCCCAACAGGCAGACTGTTATTCAGTGTGTTTCTGCATTTCTAAGGCTCATCGACCTTTCTTTTGTCAGATAAAAGCTTCCCATCTCTTTAAGCCCTTCATTCTTGCAATAGTCCCACAGAAAAGTTGACATCCTTGGCAAGGAGAGTGAAAAGCAGATTGTCCACCCTTCCCAATAGGCCAGGCTGGAGTTGTTTTAGCCTGTTTAAATCTCTCCTCTATTTATATGCTAATGTTCTGGTATCAGCAGAAAGTATAAACAATGTTGTTTACAGCTCCCTATAGTCTGTGAGCACCAAGTTGCCAGGAGAATACTGCGTACTGGGCAAAGAGATATATTTATTGAAATGAAAATGGCCACTCCTACAACCATGAGAAACAAAACTGTAAAAGTGCAGTGTCAGCCAACAATATAACATACAAAACAGGACTGGCAAAAAGCCATTAGCCAGGGGGTCAGCCATAGACTCTGGGGAGCTAAGAGATTCATATTTAACAGGGAGAGATTGGGGAGACCTTCAGCACAGAGACCTCTGAGAAAAGAGAGCATGAAGTTCCTTGGCAAGGCAGCTTACATGCTCCATTTCCTATTATTGCAGATTTTTGTTAGTGGATAATGGCTCAAAGCTTGGCTCATAGGTCTCCTGGATCCTGAAGTGAATTAAACACTCCTAAGGAAAACAGCATAGTCTAAAGGAGCAAGCACAAGAATTCTTGAATTTAGCTTGGGTCTCTTCAGTTTGTGTTGACTCTTCACCAGCAGAGCACTAGGTCTTAACAGTAACAGCAAAACCAGGGAGCAGTAGGGATGTATGACAAAGATGTTTGTGCAATGTCAAGCTCTCTGAACATTAGGGCACAGAGCTCGTGCCTTCTTTACATTAGTCAACAAAATGTTGACAACTGCAATGGCACTCCCTGGTTCAAATCCAGGGAAATACCTCCTCCCATTAGCAATGTTTTATCTTCCATTAAATCGATATTTTAATGCTTTTAAAAAAATCCCTTTTTACCATAATGCCTGCTGTATGCAATTCTCACACAAATGCAATTACTGAAAAAAGATGACGAACTGGATGACCTCACTATCCTAATTGTATGGTTTTCTACTGAAAGTCAGAAAAAGATGGGGCAATTTAACTCATGTTCTGCTACTGTATATGTTTCAGCTCTCACCATGTGAGATTCAGCACTCTACTTTCAGGAGTAAAAATGCAGGGTACTTCACTGAGGGCTTTTGTGAGCCCAGGCCACATGGACCAGCTGAGGTACATCCAGTGCATGCACTGACAATAGTGCACTCTGCTCTCTTTAGAGTGGGACCCCAGTGGCTGGACAACCAGTCCTGCTTGTCTCTGTGATCCAAAGCCACATCACATCCACCAGTACCACTGACTCTCTTGCTGGGCAGTCCCAGACAAGGTACTGAGACAGGACTGAGTCTTTTTTTAGCCCTCACAGTCCTGCAAAACCAGTGCAGAGGCACCTGGGTAGGACAACATGTAACCGCTTGGCTGTTACTTGAGAAGTATTCATGTACTGCAAACAAAAGGAAGTCCTCTACTCAATAACTTTATATCAGCACCACTAGATTGCTGAAAGGGTAAAATGCCAAGAAGACCATTTGCAGTGGCATTGTGCCTTGTCAGAGCAGCACAATCACAGAAAGAGTTTGAGGTGGTGAACAATGAGAGTATTACACTGGAAAAGATGTGCTTTTCTTCCAGTGGGAATTCAGTTGCTAAAGTGCATCAAGAGGATTTACAGCAACCCTTTGCTGTAATAACTAAACATAGGCCTGCATGAAAATCCCACATTTGGCTGTGGCACACTGGCTAAATTACTTTGTCTCCTTCTAGTTGTGTGTTCCCAAAGAAGGAAACAGTTCATTTCTGCTACTATAGTACATCTGAAATTAAGTACTAGTCTGCCAAATTTTCCAATGCAGAAAATTTCTGTCTTCTGAGTTAAAGTAATCTCCATGTGGTCTTGCACATATTACTTAGATCATCTTTTAAAGAAACTTAATCTAGCCAGTCTTGAGCTTTGAAGTTTTGCTGTACAATGGTAAAGGGTTAAGACTATGCAGACTGCATCAGGTGCCCTGCACACATTACACCATGTATTTTGCGGGATTACAAGTGCTTATCAACACTGCAAATAAAAAAGCTCAGTGCTTTTCTTCTACCCAAGACTGTCTGAAATGTCTCCATTTCTAATAACTGACAGCTAAACCACTAAACCAGGTAGGGATGATGCTTCTTGTAGCCATTTTGAGCTCCAGCAGCAGTTTCTAAATTTCCTTCAAATACTTATTAATTACAGTTTGCGAAGTACCAGCAATAAGAATACACAGGCAGCTCCATAGCAAGGGGTTAACTTTTAAGTAAAAGGCATATTGATTAAAACCACAGTATGAACAGTGAGAGACATCTTAAATCTGAAGCCACGAGTTGGAACTGTAGCATTTGCACTTTTGGCATCTGTGTCTGAAAGATGACGAAAAGACACATAAGTGTTTTTAAGAGTAGCTTGGTGTTTTGGTCAAAGAGAAAGCTGATGCATCTAAAATTAGGTAGAGAGAACTGTAGATGTACTTCTTAGAGATGCATCTACAGAAACAATAATAAAGAAGAGGCTAGAATGTAGTCTTACATAATTCATTGCTGCTTGGACATGGGCCGAGAGGGAAGAATGGAAAAAACAGTCCATAAAGATGCCAATAGTTTCTAAGCAGAAACATCTGTTGAGGTCTTAAAAACGGTCAGGCCTGCAGCAAGCTCAGCAACAGGAAAGTCTGCAGTTGATCACTCCTACCCTCATCAGTCCCATGAGCTCCCACCCCTGGGACTGGATCAGAGCTTGGAAGATAGCTGACACCATGAATCAAACACAGCTCCTTTCTTAAAGGGGAAAAGGGGAGGAACAGAGAACCAGGATGGGCGTCTGGGGAAAACAAATTATTATTTGGAACGGAGGTATTCAGGAAGAGTTACAAAAGAGTAAGGGAACATGCAAAGGGAGACCCAGTGGCTTATCCACTCTGTCCCATGGGGTGTACATACACTGAATTTCCATTGCTCTGTCCAGTCTAATTTTAAATGTCTCAAGCAAAAGGCCTTGCTCCCCTTGGGAGGCTATTGCAAAATCTCACAAATCATCTTTGCCTTTTTCATGACTGCCTCTTCCTTTGTGATAGTTCATTTAACTTTGTTTTCTCTTGATATTCAACAGTGCCCCTAGACATACCAGTTCCAAACAGTAATTTCTTCTTCCTGAAAGCATTTGTCCCCCTTCACTATCTTCTCTCAAGAAAAAAGTTATCATAAAAATATCTGTGGAGACTGTATTTTGTTCATCTCTGCAGATCTGCATTTGCCAACAGGAAGGGAACATTGTTCTGCTGGATCTTACAAGGCTCAATAATTGGGGGCCTCAAACACTTTATTACAGGAGATGTATACATTGGCAAAAGTTCTTATAAAGCAGGGTTTGGAGCATTCTTTTTCCCATCTCTAATCATTTCAGGTGCCAATTTTGACTAGTTGCTCATGTTAAAGCTTCTTACAGAATGTGAACATTTATTGACCAAGAAGGCCAAACTTCAATCAATGACAATAAAAGTTTTAACTACTGGTCCTTAGGTGGAGGTTCCATTTTTGCTGCAAATGCAAATCTGCAGCAGCCTGCCATATCCAAGGGAGTGGGCAGTAACCTAGCACTGAATTTCTGAGTTTAGAAAGGATTCTACTTTAGAGTTAGTGGTGACTGAAATACCATGCAACCTATACTTCATTTCTCAAAAAAGGGTAGTATTTGAGTGCTTGGTACTTTGGAAGTATTTACCCTGCACTGTTGAAAATCTAAGCAAAATCCTTTTGCCCCCTTAAACTAATCACTAACATTTTCCTAGCAATAGTTGTTGTTCTATATAAATTTAGAGTGAAGGATAAACATATGGCTTACACTGGAACTCTTGCTGTGAAATTACCCATGCAGTCCACAACCAGCACCTCCATAACAATAACAGAAGTGAGCAGAGTAGTTAAAGTGTTCAGATGTTCAAAAACAAACTCTGCAGTTCCCAGTATTCATCAGTTTTCAGATTCTGACCTGCTCTAGACCTGCACTCCAAAGTGGCACAGTGTAATTTGCTTCCTGGTGCAGAAGTTTCCAAGTTTTCACCACTGAACATCAAGGGTAGCTTGCTGTTCAAGGAATCTCTTCCAGCCTACCTAGCTCCTTGCTCTTCTTCCCCACCTTTTGCTTTTTTTATATTAGATTAGCAGCTTTGAACAAGAAAATATGGCACTGTCTAAAGCTCCAATTCATCAGTCTGTAAGATCTTCTCCACCTTCACACTTGCTTTCTGGCTATGTC